CGTCGTCGTCGTCGTCGTTGTCGTTGCTGTTGCCGTTGTTTTGTTTGTTGTCGTCGCCTCACCCGCGATCTTGTCCGTGACCCACCCGCGACCCACCCGCGACCCACTTGCGACCCACGCCGCGACCCACCCGCGATCCACCCGCCACCCACCCGCGACCCACCCCACGACCTGCCCGGGACCCGGCGACCCACCCGCGACCCACTGCGCGACCCACCCGCGACCCATCCAGTGACCCCTCCGCGACACGCCCCAGACCCACCCGCGACCCACCCCGCGCCCGCGCACCCATTCTAATCAGCAGTTGCGGGGTGCTACGTTGTACATGTCAAAGCCGTTGAAATTACAGATGAGTCCCGACGACGTCCACAAACATCCTGCCAACCCCGTCCCTGTTCCACATTTCACCCCCGATCCCCTCCTCCTCGTTCGACGACTCCCTAATCGTCTCCCTTCCCTCCAGCCTTCTCCCTCTCCCTCCCTCCCTCCTCTCTCCCTCTCTTACCCCCCGCTCCCCCCCCGTTCCGCAGACCTTGCCCCCTCCCTACACGGGGATTCGACATGTTACCTTCCCTGGGTAAGGCTAACCAACCACTCAACCAACCAAACATTTCCATCTCCCTCCATTCCTCCCCTTGCTCCCGCATCCCCCTCATCCCTCCCTTCCTCCCTCCCTTCCTCCCTCCCTTCTCCCTTCCTGCCCTCCTCCCCCCCCCACATGTCATCCTCCCTCCTCCCATCCCTCCTCATCCTCCCATGGCGTCCACGGTGCTGGAGGCCTTCCTGCGCGAGGACGTGGGCTCGGGGCCACCCAGCGCGGCGGCACGCGCCACGCCGCGGGATCCCCTCCTCGCCCCCTCCTCAGGCCCCCTCCTGCCTCAGCGCCCCCCCCCCCTCGCCTGCACCCCCTCCTCCTGGAGGGGAGGAGGAGGCAGGGAGGAAAAGCGGAAAAGGAGAGGGGGCGGGAAGGAGGAGGCAGCGGTCGGGGGGAGGCGGGCGGAGGAGCGGAGGGAGACGAGAGGAGAGGAGAGGAGGTTCCTTCTCATCTTACCCGGCCTCGCTCTCAAAGTGGGAAGCGCACCCGCAAAGTAGGGGCTAAGAGAGGGAGCTCCTTCTCATCTTACCCCGCCTCGCTCTCCGAGGGGGAAGCGCACGCGCACAGTAGGGGCACATGGAGGAGGAGCAGGAGCACAAGCACGAGGAGTAGGATAACAAGGGTGGAAAGGAGGAGGAGGGGGGCGAGGAGAGGAGGATCACCGACCCCTCGGGATGCCTCCCCGTGGCTCGCTCCTCACCGACCCGCATAGTAAGGATGAGCAACTTTGCAAGGCTAACTTTGCACCCTTGTCCATTCGGCCCTTCCTGAGCAACTTTCGCTGGGCAGCCTTGCTCGAGAAACGTCAACATGGCCCTCCAAGGCGCTGGCATCCTTACCGCGCAGCCTTACTGCACGGGTTGGTGGTGTTTTCTGTGTGGAACGCGAGGGCACGGATGCGGATGTGTTTGCCGCTCGTGCCGGGACTGGCCGCCTGGAGGACGACGACGAGGACGAGGACGACGAGTACGCCGACATCGAGTGGTGCACGGCCGCAGAGGCTACCTCGGCCTGCGCGCCCGCTGCCGCAGCGCCCGCGGAGACCTCGCCCGCGCCGCAGCCGGCGGGCGACCAGCGTCCGCCGCCGGCCGCCGCCGCGCCCGCTGTCGGCGCTGGGCCTGCTGCCGTGTCCGGCGAGCCGGGCCCGCTGGCCGCCCCGAGGGACGAGGAGCGGTCCTGGCGCCAACGTCGCAGAGCGGATTTCGGTCGGAGAACCATAAGATGGGCTCCGATTCTCCGGGAGAATTTCGTTCCCGGTTTCGAGATGAGTTTCGCGCGGACTGTTTGGGGGCAAGAAAGAGGACCAACAAAACATCCACGCGAAATTCACTTCGTTTTTCACTCGCCGTTTCGGGGTTTTGCATTGATACAAATCCAAACAAACATCTGCGGCAGCACGTCTGCAAGGTCGGTGCAGTGGGGAGCGGCGGCAGGGTTCGGGTCGGTTACACCTAAGAGCCTCGGCGACTACAAAGATCATGGTTACGCCGGGGTGTGGTTTGCGTTCGGCACCGCTGGTGCCCGGGGAGCACGACGCTGTCACCGCTGGGCCTCCTCAGGGCGTGGCGGAGATCTCTGTCGAGGTCCTCGCCCGCCCCCCAGGGATTCCCCGCAGGGTGCCGGTTGCAAACCACACTCTTTTCAAACCGCATCCTTCGGAGTCGCCGAGAGACGCGGGCAAGATTGACATCCATATGTAGTGCGTCTTGGAGTTTCGGGTTCCCATCCCCAGAAGCCAGAGTCGCTGTGGGTATGGGTAAAAATCCAGCTCCTACAGGCCAGTTTTCTATCCAAATCCACGGCGCCTCGGCCTTTTGGCGCTCCTTCCCAGACAGTCCAAGACGAAGTGGATATGGACCTGAAGCCTGCGCGCAAGAGTGACCTTCGCCGTAGTGGTTTGTGGTGCGGGCACACCTGGGGCCCCCAGACGGTTCGATGCGATGCAACAGCAGCGGCCTGCGCGCTCTCGGGTGGTCCCCCCCCCGCCACCAGAAAGCAGCGCACCGAAGCTCACTCTTGCCTGGCGTCACGCTTGCGTGCGGAGAGGAGGAGGAGGAGGAGGAGGAGGAGGAGGAGAAGGAGGAGGAGGAGGAGGAGGAAGATGAGGAGGAGGAGAGCGAGGAGGAGGAGGAGGAGGAGGAGGGGAAGGGCGAGGAGGCGGAAGATGAAGCGGAGGAGGAGGAGGAAGAGGAGGAGGAGGAGGAGGAGGAGGAGGAGGAGGAGGAGGAGGAGGGCGGGAGGAGGCGGAGCTGACGCGACAGGTCCCAGAGGTTCAGCAGCTTGCCTGACGTTCGGAGGTCCCAGGTTTACAAGGCCCCAGGAGTGCAGCAGCTGACGCCAGAGGTCCCAGGAGGCGGAGGAGGAGGGGGAGGTGCCGAGCTGCGCGCGCGCACGGGGCCCGGACCTCCGACGGCCCGTCTTTTGCTGCTGTTTGGATCCGGGCATCTCTTTGTTGCCCTAAAACGACACGAAGATCGGGACAACATCGGATCGGGATAACTCGAAATCTCTGAGAATCGGCGGGTTTGGAGGATGCATTGGGCGCCGCGGCCGCTCCAGAGCGTTCCGGAACGCTCTGAGAGCGCTCCGGAACGCTCTGGAGCGATTTATCCCGATCCTAGCCCTGTTTTAGATGCGTCGGGACCCCGAGCTGGAGCGTTCCAGAAAGGGCCCTCACTCAGATGATCGAGGGGTTTGCCATCTCTTCCGCGGCGGAAAGGTCGGCGGAAGGTCGGCGGACGGCGGCGGAAGAGAAGCCAGGGCGGCTCCGCCGGCGGAGGGCCAGCGGAAGCCGGCGGGCGTAAAAGATGCGCCCCCAAGAGATGGCCACAGTTTTGAAGGGGCCCCAGGACACACAAATAAATACACACAAATAAAAATATCCCCCATATTTTCCCATATTTTAGGGTTTTTTGTCTTCGCCCCCACTTCCCATATTTTGGTATATTTTCTGGGAATCGAGGATTAATTGTGTCTGTGTGTTTTTTTCCTCCTGAAGTTTGGGTTCCAGGGGTTCCGGCATCGGCCAGCTGGGGCCGCGCACTGAAACCGTCGCCTCGTCGTATGCGTCAGGGGCACTCCCTGCCTCGGGAGGCAGTCACGGGTGGTGCTCTGGGGCGGTCGCAGCACGGCATCCGGCGACGCTTCCTGCCTGCGGCCCGCGCCCCCCAGAGCGATCTTCGCACTTGGGAGATTGACCAGCACTACCCATAACTCCAATGTTGTGATTGCTATACAGCGCATGCCGCAGACCCCTAGATGTCGGTTCCCTTTCTCTGGGGCGGGCTTTTCATCTGTGCTTGACGGTTCCGGGACCCAGCCATGGCCCCCATATGGAGGCCATGGTTGGGCCCCGGATTTCTGGCACAGCGAGAGGAGTCATCAAGGGAGGAAGAACCACCCCGACCAGAGAATTTGCATTCGGTAGATGGATTGGGGGGTTTACTGAACAGGCTTGCTCTGCTCGGTTCCTTCAGTGGGTGCGTTGACTGCGTCCAGGTGCTTCTTATGAGGGTGGTTCTTCTCTGCTGAAGAGGTGGGGGTCCGGGAGCGGCGTGTTGGGCGGGGCTACGACAATGATGAAATCGTTCCAGAGCGTTCAAGGACGCTCTCGGAGCCGCGGCGCCCGATACGTCCTCTCGGAGAATTCCGATATACCCTGTCCGATGTCATCCCCTGAGCGTCCTTTCTTTCTTTCGGCCGTCCCCCCTTCCTTGCCCGCCGGCCAATTCGCTAGGTAGTGCCCCTGTCTAGCTTCTGGCTGGAGCGGACTTCGCCGCCTCGCCGCTGACGGAAAAAAGTCCGATGCCATCCCTGCCCGGGCTCGGTCTTAGCTTGCGCGCATCAGCGAGCCCCGCCGAGGATCAGCGCAGGAGGCAGACCGAGCTGCGCCGCCGGGCCGCCGACGCCCACTTGGCGCTGGCGCTGTGCTTCGCGGCGCGGCTGCGGTCGCTGAGCGACGCGTGCGACGACGCGCTCCTGCAGGCCCTGGCGGCCTCGCAGGCCCCGTGCGTGGACCGCGCCTCGCCGTCCAGGTCGCTCGCGGCGGCCTGGCCCGCCGCTCCTCCTGGGGCGCCATCGGAGGAGCACCGGCGGCACGGACAGCAACTGTCGGACGTCTGGTCGATGTTCTCGGGTCGGCGCCGGGCCCCGCTTCCCCGCGCGCGGAGCGCGCCCGGGGCGGCCATGGAGGCGCCCCGACGAGCGGGGCCATCTGTAGCGCCGACGCCAGAAGGCCGCGCGGACCTCCGAAAACGCCCCTGTCCGTGACGTTTTGGGGCTCCTCTCTGCGGCAGCGCCCCGCGCCGAGGCCGCCGCCGCCGAGGAGGGCTCCTGGCCCCTGGCCTGGTCCCACCGGTGGCGGCTGCTGGCGGTGCTGCGCGGCGGGCGCGCGCCCTCCGCTGAGGACTGCGCCCTGCTCGCCGTCGCCCGGGCGCGAGCCGACGCGGTGCCTGCGCGCGTCGTGATGGCGCTGCCCCTGCCGCCCGTGCGGGGCTGCCTGGGGCTGCTCGTGGGCGAAAGCGGCACGGACGCCCCGCCGCTGGTGTGGGCCGAGGTCTTCGACCAGGTGGCCGGCAGGTGGGCGACGCAGACAAGCGGGGTCGTCGTCACCGATGCTGGCGCGCAATCGTCCTGCGTAAGGCGTAAGGTCGCGCGTGTGAGCGCCCTCGGCTCCAGTGTGGCGTGCCGCGCTGGCGGCCCGCGCAAGCCGCGGCGTGAGGTCGCTGTGTCATAATGCGCGTGACCCGCTCCGTTTCGTCGCCCAGTTGTCGGCGGCGACGATCAGGGCGACTAGCCCAGGGGCGGGCATTACACGTGTTCGCCTGGCCTCGCCGAAGGCATCAATCATCGGCGCCCCTGGATACACGCAGCACTGCTCCCCCCTTTGGGCCCTTCGCCCCGATCTTTCGCCTCTGGAGGTGGGCCCCCGTCCTGGGCCCGCCGGCGGCGCCGCGCGGGCGGGACTGGGTGCTGGCCGCGGGCGAGGGCGGGGGGCTGCACGACGTGACGCGCAGGTACGCCGCGCGCTGGACCGCCACGCTGGCCGCGCGCGGCTCGCTGGGGCGCCGCTTCGAGGCGCTGGTGGCCGCCCTGGCCGAGCCGGGCGCGGCGGGAGAGCTGGACAGCCAGGCCGTGAGGCTGGCGCGGGCCGACCTCCTCGACGAGGAGTCGCTGGCGAGGCGGGCGCAGCGCGAGCCGGTGCCGACGTCTCGCGCGGGCTTCAAGCGCCACTGCGGGTGCGCGACCACGGAGGAAAAGGGGTCTTGGATCAAGCAGTGGCGAAGCGCCCTGGCGTGCCTATCAGGCCTACCGAACAATGGTCTAAGAGCCGATTGTGGTTTTCACAACATGTTCTTAGAACATGTCTGGCTGGGACTGTCTTGTTTTAGCACATCGGGTTTATGTTCTAAGATCCTGATTTGTGTTCTTCGAACATTTTTCGGATTCTAAGGGCATGTCGTGGAAGCATATAGGAATGCCGGGACGGTCAGTCCCTGCTCAATGGGAGAAGCCGTGTCCTGGAGGTTGGTCGCCTTTCTCGGGCTCTGGGGCCGTCCACGGGCCCCAGGAGAATCAAAAAGGCGACTCGGGGTGAGAATCTGGTGCTGGGCGCCTTGCCCGTGGTCCAGATCCCGCTTCCTCCAGGGCCCGTGCCCTCCACGGCAAGGTACGTGCTCGAGTCGCAGCTGCGCCAGAACGAGGTGGTCCACCCGGCCGGGGCCCGTCCGGCGGGGCTCTTCCGCGGGCAGGAGAGGATCTGGCGCCGGGCCGACGTGCAGGAGTTGCGCTCCCCAGCGCAGTGGCGGCGGCAGGGCCGCTGCGTGCGTCAGGGCGAGCGGGCCGTCAAGACGCTCCGGGGCGGCAGCGCTTTCCAGATGCCGCTGTACGGCGCGTGGCAGACAGAGCCCGCGCCGGAAGTCAAAGAAGAAACAGCTACTCCTCCATACAAGGGGGAAGGTCTGCTTTGAGCTGTCTGTGAGGGCTCCAGTGTGGGGTCTGGGCATGGCTGGTCGATGGGGAGTCTGAACAAGCTCGAGGGTTGTGACCCCCTCCTTTTTAGTGGGGGATCTGGAGCAGATGAACTCCAATGTTCGGGTGTCCGCGCAGATTTCTTCTAGTCCGGCGCTGGACCCCCCTCCTCCTCGGGCCGGCGCCAGAGGCGCCGCCGGGGAGGCCCCGCGCCGACCCACGACACTGCGCGGACCTCCGAGGGCGTGCCTCCTCCTGCAGGGGCTTCTCGGGCCCCGCCCCGCACAGGAGGCCCCCTCGGCGCCGGCCGCGCAGGACCAGCTCGGCCCCATCCCCGGCGTCAACAACTACGGCAACCTGGAGCTGATCGGGCCTGGGGCCGCGCAGGCCCTGCCGCCCGGCGTGGTGCACGTGCCGGACGACGGGCCCGTCGTCAGGTCGGTCGCGGCCCGCCTGGGCGTGGAGTTCGCCCCCGCGGTGGTGGGCTTCGCGCACGAGCGGGGGGGCGCGGTGAAGCCGCGGTTCGGCGGCGTGGTGGTCTGGCAGCGCGACGCGCCCGCGGTGGCGGAGGCCGCGGCGGCGGAGAGGGATCGCCTGGAGGCGGCGAAGGAGCAGAAGACGGCCGAGCGGCTGGAGTCGGCGTGGCGGCTCCTGGTGAAGAACGTCCTGGTGGACCTCTACGTGGAGGGGAGGTACGCCTCGGCAGGGTGAGCCGCTGGCGCCCCGCCGCGGCGCCAGCCGTCGGCCAGCTGTCCTCGGCGTGCTACGCCGCGGCAGCGAGCGCCTGGGAGGCCCCAAAACATGGGTCGTGGGAGTCGCCATCTCGCTGGCCATCGACCTCACGATCCTGATCCTCGTCGCCGCCATCATCACCGTAAGTGGCCTCGCGGCTTTCGGCATCTTCGATGACACCAGCACGTGCATTTCCTGTGACTCCCCTCGCCGCCGTCGAAGCCATGGGCCATGGTCGGCATCACCACCTCTGTCTGCACTCCTGTCGTCGCCATCGTATGGACGACTGCCGTCGTCAAATTGCTGATTGCGGTTTTAGCCATCTCTCGATGCAATCGCCCCAGTCGCCTGTCGTCATTACGCTCACCACCTCCATCGCATCGCATCACCAGCGGAACCTCTTTCACCAGCGTACGGTGCTCCGCGTCGTGCGCGCCATCTTCACCAGATCCTGCTGGGTGCCCGCAGCTGGCCGAACGCCTCGGGGCGCCTCCAGCGATGCGCGCCCGAGGATGCACAGTCTCGCCGCACTCTCCCCCTCCTCCCCCCCAACTCCCACTCCGCTCGCTCCTTCGCCGCCGCCGTCCCCGGCTCCCATCGGGCCCCACAAGTCCTGGCCGCCCCCCTGCTGCTTTCCCAGACCCAGGGCCAGGGCTTGGTTGCCATGTTCCGCAGTTTCGCCGTACGCGGCAGGTCCGCGCCGCGTCAACGCGTCGGCGATTCCGGCGCGGGCGTTCAAGGTTGGACGCCGCTGGTGGCTCGGCGTCGGCTGACATCGAAGCATCTGCGCTACGGCAAGTCCACGATCGCTCACGACTGAACGATCTGCGCGGCAATCCAGCGCCAACGTCGCCACGACACGACCATGCCGTCAGTGGGCCACGCCCCGCGGGAGCGAGGCGCGTCATTAGGATGCCCCCGCCGACCCCCAGGGCTCCGCGAGACGCGCCACCCTGCAGCCGGGCGAGGGCGAAGATGCCCGAGAGCGCCCCCGCCCCCGCCACAGCGGGCGAAGCGCGGTGCAGAGCGTTCCAGCCTCCCCCCCCCCCCCCGCAGCACCACCTCCTCGGGAGCGGCGGAGGGAAGGCGAGGCAGGCTCCCCTCGCCCGCTCCGCTCCTCCACCTCTTCGGCGGCCGCCCATCCCCCGGAGCCCCCGCCCCCTCCTCGCGCCCAATCCCCCCCCTTCCTCGACTCTGCCCCCCCCACTCGCCCCCCCTGCCCCCCCCCCCCCTGCTCTCCCGGCGTCGTCCTCGCCACCTGTCCTCCCCCCCCCCCCTTGTTCCCTTGTCGTCCTCCCCCGCGGTCTCCCGCCACTCGGCCGCGAGCTGCGCTCTGCCCTGGTTCCCTCCTTCCCTCCATCAGGTCATCGATCCCCCCCCCTCTCGTTCCTTCCCCTTCCGAACCCGCCAGCACTCCCCATCATGCCTCCCGCCCTTGGACGAGGAGCCTGACGGAGGGGGGGGAGGGGGAGGGAAAGAACGATGATCGGCAAGGGACGAGATGCATGGGATGAGGAGGAGGGTGAGGTGGCAGCGGAAGTGCTGAGCAGGAAGACGATGGGAGAGGAGGCAGCGGGGGGAGATTAGCAGGAGGAGGCATATAATAATAATCGCAATAATGCTAGTAAGAAGGAGCGGCGAGGAGGAATCAGAGGAGGAAGGAAAGGTAGGCGGAGGTGAAAGAAGAGGGGATTGAGGGACCGGGGAAAGGAGGAGGGGACGAGAGAACAAAACAGAAACACTTATAACCATGATGATTGGAGGTGGGGAGAGAGACGTGGAGAAGGAGGGGGCGCACAATCATTACTCGCAGTACCCACCACTCGTTCATCTCAGTCAAATTTCCTGTGTTCTTCATGCTTGACCCAGCGGCATCAGAAGGAAGAACCAAGAACTGTCGGGCAGGAGTGTGGAGGAGGATGGAGCTGAGGACAAGGTGGGTATACATGACGCAGATTCCATTAATCATACATGTTTCATGGGAGAAGAAACGGATGGCCGACACCCCCCCCACCATACCTTTTTGACGGTACTCCTTGGCTCTGGGGCACTTGACGGAGGAGCTCCTGGACAGTCGAAAGCGGACCCCACACCAGCCAAAGAGTTCCCCAACCTGGCCCAAGAGGCTCCCAAAGCGGCACAGGAGCGCTCCAAGCCGCCCAGAACGGCTTCTAGACGGCCACAGAGTCCCTCAAGACGACCCAAGAGGCCTCCCAGAGGGCCTCAAGGGGCACAAATCGTCGCTCTCCCTTTGGGCAGCGCAGATGTTTAGTATATTTGCTTCTTCGGTCCTATCAGCGTCCAAGACGACCCGAGAAGCCCCCGATATCGCCCCAAGACGACCCACGAGGCGCCTCAGATGGCCCCAAGACGGTCCAGGGGCCGATCTTCCGATGCATTCCAAGTTGGCGGGGGAAGGGGTGGGAGGGGGTGAGATCCAGGATCCGCTCTTCCCGAAATTTTCGGAAAGAGGAGAGCGATTGGGCGAGTGCTGGCGGCGGCGAGTCCTCGGACGCGTGCCAGATTCGTCACCGCCTCCTTTGTCGCTTGCCCCTCCTCCAGGTTCTCCCGCCTCCTCCTCCTCCTCGTCCTGCCCCTCCCTCGTCAGTCCGCGTGCCGCCCGCGCTCGGGCGCAGGTCTGGGCGGCAGGATCTGCTCCCTCCATGTCGCGCGCTGGTCTTTCAGGAGGAAAAGAAACACACAGACACAAGTTATCGGCGATTCCCAGAAAACGTGGGAAAAGATGGGAAGTGTGGGGGAAGACAAAAACCCAGAAAAAAAAATGGTAAAGTATGGGGGATATTGCTATTTGTGTGTATTGTTTTTTGTGTGTCCCAATTCCCCTTCAGTCTTTCCCCCTCCCAGCCAGCCTGGCTCAGTCTGTGAGCAGGTCGGTCAGCACGGCCGGCCCTCCTGCCTGCCCGTGTACTGCACTCCGTGGATCCACCCCCACCTGGCACAGGATGCGTGCTGCCGTGGGGCTCGCGGCCTTCGCTGCCACCGCATCCGGGATGATGAGGCTGCCGACGGGTCGGAGGGGAGGAGGAGGGCCACCACCACCGGCGGGCCACCGCCGACGGCGAGGATGTCCACGATGACCCCCGGGGGGCTGGAGGGGTGGGGGACGCCTCCGAGCAGGACGCCGCCAATCACCGCGGCGGGGCCACGGCAGGGGCGCCTCGCGGTGGTAGTGGTGGGGCCCCTGTGTGTGAGCTACAGCCAACCTGCATGGTGAGGATGAGCGACGGTCTTCAAGGGTGCCCCTGCATCCTCCCCGTGCGGCCCATCCTGGGCCGCCTTCGCTGACCGCGCCCAGCTGGCAAAGTGTCGGCATGGTCTTCCAAGGCCCTTGCATCCTCATCGTGCGTCCTTCTCATACGGGTTAACTGTAAGTCAGATTGGGGAGGCAGAACGATCCTTCACCATCCCTGGGTGTGTGGCTGATGTTGGGTCCAGCGGTGCGGGTTGTTGTTGTTGTTGTTGTTGTTGTTGTTGTTGTTATTGTTGTTAGTGGTGTTGATGTTGTTGTTGTTGTCGTCGTGGTGGCGGTGGTGGCGGTGGTGGCGGTGGTTGCTGTTGTTGTTGTTGTTGAACATTATTTATTCTAAAGAATAATTATTGTTGGGACCCCTGGTGCGCGGCCCCCTCGCCGCGCCTAGGCCGCAGCCACATTTTCATCATTTTCGTGAGGAGGTCTCAGGCAAAACGTGGGTGTCCGGATCCGGTTGTTTTGTTCCCCCCCGCTTTCCCTTGCAAAAAACACTATACAATGAAATTTCTTGTTCTAACATAACCAAACTTCAAGAATCCTTCGAGCAAAAAATGACACGAAGTGCACACTCGCGCGCGCAAGATGAAATCCTTCCAAAACCTTAGTTTTCGTAGCGAATTTAACATAAAAACATGAAAAACCCAATGGTTTTTCAAAAACAAAGTTTCAAACATTCATCTTGCGCGCTCTTGCGGATTTCTGAGGAAACCCAATTTTTTTTCAACATTTCTGTCAAACGGGCTCTTGCGAGCAACTTTTTCACGTGCTTCGAACTTCTGCAACAACGGTTGCGCGCATGCCAGGGCCATCATCCCTGTCAAATAATACATATTGGACACATTCGTTTTTTCTTCGCGCGCGCACGCCGTCGTCGTCGGCCGCGGGGCCCTGAATAGTAGCCACGGTCGTCCGCATGCCACGAAGTGAAGTGTCCGAACGTCATAGGGCGGGAAGCTGGGTGTGGGTGGTGGCGAAGAGTCGTTTGGAAATTTGGTAGAGCTTGAACCGGCCCCCCCACAAAGTGGGGGTAATGCCCGCCTCCTATGAAAACCCTGGCTGGCGTCGCATGACACCCTGGCACTGGTGAGACGGCGTGTCCCCCAGCTTAAAATGATTGTTAGTTGTTGTTGTTGGTGGTGTTGTGTTGTTGTTTTTGAATTTTTCATTTCAAAGAATAATTATTGTTCGTTCTCGCTTGGGGACTTCTTACAATTTATCAAGATCGCTCTCCCAGGCGCTCTGGACTCGCCCTCTCGCTTGGAGACCCTTGTTGCAACTTTCGGAAGAATTGCCTTGCGTTGGAATTTCTTGCAATTTGCCCAAGCGCCGCGTTTCCGCGACACCCAGGAACACCAGCAGTCGCGCCCCGTTGTGGCCCCATAGTGTGCGTGCCCTCGTGGCCGCTGTCGCCATTTGGGCCCATTTGTGTCCCCCTCAACTGTCCTACGTGGCCCAGTTGCTACCCTCAGTGGCCCCATAGTTGCCTTCTGTGGCCCCGCATTATCTGCACTTCGTGGCCCCCGCTCGTTCGCGCTCTTCGTGGCCCCATCCGCATTCCCTTCGTGTCCCCGCTGTCGCCCTTCGTTGCCTACTTCGTGCCCTTCGTGGCCCTGCTGTCGTTCTCTCTCGCGCAGTCGCTTTCGCTCGTCGTTCGTCTTCGACGTCGTCGTCGCCGTTCGTCTTCGACGTCGTCGTCCGTCGTCTTCGACGTCGTCGTCGTCGTCGTCGTCGTCGGCGTCGTCGTCGTCGTCGTCGTCGTGTCGGTCCCCTGTCCGTCCCTCGTGGGGTTGGGTCGACGTCCGCGGCCGCCCCGCCGATCAGCGCTGCCGCTGGCCAGGCCGACGGTCCGCGGCCGCCCCGCCGCTTGCCGGGGCCCGGCCTGCAGGGAAGAAAGGTATACCCCCCAAAAGGGTTT